TTTTTTTTTTTTCCAAAATTATGGAATAATTATTGTGAAAATGACAATCTGTCATCATCCTGAGATAAAAACCACAAATCTACAAATTGATCATCTGTCCATGCATGCACATGCTCCCTTGATGCAATTTGAAAGTGACGCTGCAGCCAATCTTATGGTCACATGCTCAAGTAGCCTGTCAATCTTGAAATAGCACACAATATTTGGAATGTAAAAGTCCAACCTTTATAGTTTGTTTGAAAGAGATTTATTTAAAAAATATTTTAAAAAAATCATTTTAAATCATATATTCCGTAGAAGTCATTATTTTTCCATACTTTTTAACCATATATTTTTCAAAAAGTTTATTTTTCACTTGAAAAAGATCTCTCAGACAAAAGCTTAATATATATGAACACAAATATGAAAGATCTTGAAATTTGTTATCCTTTCTTTACATGTGAGAATTAATACTCGCTCAAATGTACTTTTATGAAGTACAAAGTAAACCAAAACATATTTTACCAAGCTTAGGCCTCCTCGCAAGGTTGCCCATATGTGGTTCAACCCATAAGAGGTCAAGCTAACTAGACATATATACTCTCTTCGAACATCTCAAGTCTGACCCTACAAAACATCCCTTACGAATACCTAATCACAAAAAACAAACACTTCAATCTCCACACTCGCTCGAATGCTTTGTTATTAAGGAAATTGAACCAAAATCATGATCAACCTGAACCGAATTATCTCAGTAACACGCAATGTCAATAAATTAACCAATCAACATCGTTGGTAGGACCGTCTAAGCTTGGCCAAAGCTTGGGGACTAGCTAATAACAATTATTACTTCGGTACATCATCCCAATTGTCATATAGAATAAGGAAGAATCGTGCTACTTGTACAACTTTTTTTATAATTTCATACTTGATAGGCATCACATCCATCCATTGTATGCACATTTATGTTTTTAATGTGGAATTATAAATTATTAACAAAGGTATTTGATCTAAAATATTGCAAAATGGACATTGAACAAATTTTGGACATTTTTACAAATGACCATGTGAGGATGGACATTTCTTGTAATTTCCTCTTTCTTAAATAATAATTCTGAAGTACTATACATGCACTAATAGAAGTATATAATTCAGCAGTCAAATCACTAGAGCACTCGCTCTCAGTGAAGCCACGCCTCAGTCCAAATCAATGTATATATGAGATCATAAAAAATTAATGTGCTATTTAATTTAAATAAATCCAAGCCATTTTTCAATGTCGTGTCTGGTAAGATAATGTTACTACTAATCATAGCCATTAATTATTCTAAAATATTACTACATGAGGTTTTGATCTCAACATACAGAAATACAGTTAGCTTTTAGTAAATCTTGAGGCAAGATCTAACATGAATGAAGTGCAGCATATAAAATATGAAGCTCGCCTATATGAATAAGCAAAAGATATATATCCATCAATAAAAAAAATAAGAAAATAACTAATATGAATTATTCTAAAGAGTATTGACAATTAATCGTTCCAAACAATCGAAAATTTTGATCAAAAGACGCATTCAAAAACACATTATTATACGTCGTTATTATCAAAATTAGTATATGTCGAATACATATCAGAGTTAGCACGAATTATGAGGGGTCCAAAAAAAATTGATTTTATTTCACGTTCAAGTTTGGCTCAGTTTCAATAATACACTTATAATCAGATTGATTTATAAATAAATAAGTTTTAACAAATATAGAGCAAGTTACTTACTTTGATAATAACTTCTATTTAATTGTCAACATAAATATTTTTTTTCTTATAATTATGAATAAGTTATATATGTAAACATTAGAAGAAACAAAAAATAACAATTACCTTTAAGCTTAGTCAGACCTTATAAGCTTTTTCACTGTTAAAATAAGTAATTTATTTTTAGCTCTTATGATTACAAATTATTTATTACAGAATTTACTTATATAATTGTTAGTGAAACATGAATTTGATAAAATATTTAATTTAGTAATAAGCTATACACGCTACATGAATGTCATGAAAAGAATATTCAATAATTGAGAAGCCTTGAAGCCCTATTTGGTGGCTTTTTTTTTTTGAAAAAACATTGTTTTAAATAGTGAATTCGAATGAGAAGTTAAAAAATAGAAAAAAGTTTTGAATTTAGGTGTAAAATATTTTATTGTGTGATTGAAAGTATGTAGAAAAAAGAATTTTGAAATAATAGGAGATAAACAGGGGCGAACTAAACTTGAGCAATTGAACACTGGAGCTTTCAAAATATGAAACTCCAGATAATGCAGTTGTCTAAACTTACAGTAACTAAGTGGGGTTGTATCATATTTTTGTTATTAATTTTTTTCTTACTATTTTGGGTTGTATTAGATTATATTTTCATAGGTATATGATTTTTACGTTTTAGTACATTTATATATTGATTGGAGATTTTTTTTTAATATTATTTAATTAAATATTAATAAATGATCTCGCTATTGCAGTCATTGAAAGTCAACGGTTAATGGCCGTTTTAGCACTCGAAATCTTGGATCCTTCACTAACTGTATAATGAATAAAATTTTACTTTATTTACATCCTTAATACTTATTATTCTTGTAATGCAAGATGATTCTGTTGGTTCGAGCTTATGACTCAACCAACAAAGGGTAAACTCGTCACAATGGCTCAGATATTTAGTCAAAAGACCTACTTACCACTTTTAAGTATCCATCGAAGTGTATCATGGTCAAATCCACATTACAAGTCCAGGAAAATTTACAGCAACTATAGATGCACCACGTATCATAGTTTTCTAATTCAAAATCACCAATTATCATAGTTTTCTAGCTCAAAATCACCAAGTATCATAGTTTTCTAGCTCAAAATCACCAAGTATCATAGGTGGGTTCTGGCATATATAGACACAATATTAAGGTTTTAAAATCGTGTTGAAATTGACCGAGAAGACCCCAAAGATATCCTACCATAATTACAACTCGTGGCTGAATAGGTCTCGCTCAAGTGCAAATGCCATGCTCCCGGGCATATATGACGAAAAGTGAATTAACGTTGAAAATTTCGAATCGAAATCCGTAAAATTCATTGGACTCTTATCTCGATAGGATTTCGATTGGCATATGATGTAATCCATGATACGAGAGCAAGTCCAGGAAATGATCCATTGATTGTTGAGAAATGGCCTATGATTAAGTCGCGAACGAAGGGGTCAAAGAAGTAACGGGTCTACTTGCTCAAGTCACGGTAGACGAAACATTGATCACGGCAAGCAAATGGAGAAGTTTCATATTGAACTTAGAAAAAGAAATAAGATGAATCAATTTAGTCTAAGCAGTGGACGAGAAAACTGAAAAGAGTAACTATACGACTGCATAGTTATCCTAGGCATGCGACTGCATGCCTTTATACCAATTTATTACAAGGCTTATTACTTTTTTCTTGTTCTTCATTCAATTAATTTTGAACTTATCAAAAATTAAATTCTTATGACAGTCAAGATATTGTTAGCTATTTTTTTGGTTCTTTGATTCAATAATATATTAGGTCGAACTTTTAAACGTTGATTCTTGGCTTTCTTGGAATTGATCTAATCTGTTGTAGATTTTGCTTCAATTACTATGTGGGTTCGCATCAGTATATCATACGCCACCTAGAGATCCTTGTATTAACTTGTTTATCTCATTTCTCCAAGTGTTTCGAGCTTTGATTTTAGGGAGTCTTAACTCGATAGAATTTCAATTGGTATATCATATGCTACCTGGAGATCTTTGTGTTAAACTTGGTTAACTCATTTTTCCAAGTGTTTCGATCTTTGATATCCTCTCTTCGCTTCTCTCATTTTCTATTTTATTCCAATGCACTCTAGGCTTTCTTTTCCCATCTCTTCTCATCAATTTCATCGGCAATGTCATCAAAGCTCGAAGTTTGTCCTAAAGAAACTAAAATAAACTAAAATCAATAGAAATTGGAGTCAAAAACACTAACAAAATCCTCATTTAACGGTCCACATTAGTATAAGTTTTACACTTTATCAAGTGTTGGAGTGCAAACGGCTGTTACACCACCTCTCGTTGATACGACCTTGCATCATGTTGTGTTTTCTCAAGTGTGCTAGTAACATACCTTGTACATTTGGAAGGAGAGTGATTGGGATCTCTTGACATCAAAGTCAACAATTACCACATACTATTTAACCCTTAAAATAATCACCAATACATGAAGAAATAGCAGATTACACAGTTGGTCATTATATATTTAGCCCATATTTACCCAATCAATAATTAATTTAATTACATATTTCATAAGATCCGCAACTTTTCAATAAGATATTTTATCAATTTTTATCAAAATTTACTAAAAATCTAATTTTAATTGCCGCCCAAATGTAGCTTAGAGTGTAAAAGAAAGTGGTGAGAGCGTGGGACAAAAAGTAAACAAACCAGCAAAATTTAAAGCTTCTTCTTCTTGTAGGCCCTACCAAAGATTTTCTAGCATCTATTTTTTTCTCTATATAACACCCTTCTTCTTTCCCTCACCCCTTTCTTCACAAGTGTTCCTTCTTGCTTCTTGTCCTTTGCACTTCCTTTTATACATATATGTATGTTTTTCACATGAATACGGTATATTTTAAGGAATAAAAAAGCACGCGTTAGCACTGAGTAAGGTTTGATATATATAAGATTGAATAGATACATACACAATAGATTGAGCATATATATATATATATAGAATGAAGGAGAGTAGTAGAAAACAAGGTGCAGCATCACCATGTGCAGCATGCAAGTTACTGAGAAGAAGATGTGCCCATGATTGTGTTTTTGCTCCTTATTTTCCGGCCGATGAGCCTCAAAAGTTTGCCAGTGTGCACAAGGTCTTTGGTGCTAGCAATGTCAACAAGATGCTGCAGGTCCCTCTCTCTCTCTCTCTCTCTCTCTCTCTCTCTCTCTCTCTCTCTCTCTATTTATATTTACACACACAGAGATGGTATGAATCTTTAGCCGGTCCCAGATCAATTCTTCCCTACATTTATTTAGTCGAGGTTAAATCACACAGTATTGAAAATATGAAAAGAGGTTGAGCTATATCACTTAACGTGGTTGATGTTTCAACCCAACTCATTTTATGTTTCGTTCACACACCAGACACATAAATAATGAGTGATTAGTTGTGTGGACGACATTTAAGTGACATTAATTGATATATGATCTTAAATGAGACTCATATTCCTACCTTTTAAGATAACATATCATTAATGCTCTTTAATTGACTATCAACAATCTAGATCGATAGCACTAATCTTAAATAATACACCTAAAGATTTTGGTTCAATATAATAAAGCACCTTACTTTGTGCGATGTCGCATTAGTGTTGTGATTAGACCTTTTTAATCTCTATACATATTTTATTTTAGAGAAACAAAAAGGAAATTAAGAAACTATGAATGGAGACCTTAATTTTGTTACTTTAGGCAACAAAACTCATAAAAAAGGTTATAAAAGCTATGTTTTACCTACTTATTATTTTGTTATGTTGCTTTGTGTCGTATTATAACTGCTTTATCATATGTTTTCTACAAGAAGATCTGTAAATAAGTTATTCTTAGTATATTTCGATCAATATTTTACTTTATCGATTCTTCAAATACTAAAAATTCAGCCGAAATTATTGGTGACAAAGCAAAGTGGGGGCCAAATAGGAGCATTAATAGCACGAACATGTTATAGTGCCAGAATAATTTTCATAATATCACGTGACACTCTATCATTGTATTGTTTAAAATACGATCATCTTTTTCATCAAATCATCTCACTCCACTTAGAATTCTGGCACTGCTTCTGACATTATTCTTTTAGCAAAGTGGTT